ATATTAACATCTTTATAATATATGCTTGATGGTAGCATCAAATTATTAAATTGCTTGTCAATTTAATTCGCGATTACTAGAGTAGTTTTAATTGCGTTTATTTAGTCCGGAAAAATAATTCGGCGCGCAGTTTGAAAAAAGATGTGACAATATGTGGTATGTATGCAAGTACATATATAGTATATATTAGTAATTCAAGATTGAATTATTTAAGCAACGAAGATCCAGCTTCGACCGTAATAGGCATTTTAAATTTCTAAGACGAATTTATTTAAAGTCGTTATATATTGATTAAAAAATTTACTAAATCTTAATACATATTTTTTTTAACTAGTAACATAAGTAAACATTTAATTATAGTTAATAAATATTTACTCAATGAAAAAATGATTAAATCTAATTAAATAAAATTAATAATTTTTGTATCAAATAAATATGTTTACATTTAGTAAATATTTATTTAGAACTATTCAAATAAATAGTAAATATTAATATTTAAACTTTACTAAGACCTCGGTGATCTAAACTAAAGGCTTAGGACGCTCGCCTGGAAAGCAAGAGCTTCCGTTCGACTCCCGGCCGAGGTAATATTTTTCGCAATAAGAATTAATTATTTACAGATATTGATATGTATGTCACTCAGCATTATTAAGATCGTTCGAAGATACGAAAAAGCATAAAAGTGCTAGTCAATTTAACTCGTGATATTACTGCGGTAGTTTAGTAGAGTTAGCGTTTCAAGACTGAAAAATCATTTCGGCGCGCGTTTCAAAGGACTATATACGTAGTATATAAATTCACACAGAATCATACAAGCATTTAAGATCCAGCTAGACTGTTTAAGGCATTGATTTCTATAGTTTGTATATTATTACACACACATATACGGTCCTATAATATATTATATCGTTAATATTTAAATCTGTTGTCATTTTGTCTAATAATTAGATCATGTCCATTGGTACATTTACCTTATGAAAACGTCACGCCGCGATATACATTTTGATGGACTTTGTGAAAGCACTGCGGTACGCTCGCTCGAATCGATTTATTTTCATCTTTAGAAATGCCTGTCGAAGGGAACGTCAAAACAATATCTTTACATAATTCGTGAAAAGATATTTTTCTTTACGAATATTTTCTTCGTACGAAGCACATTCTATTCTCCGATCAAATAAAATTCGAAACGAAACTTGTTCAGAACCCACGGTTTCAATTGTCGTCTAATCGTGTGAAAAGCACAGACATGAGCTTTGCAATATAACACAATTGAACAGATAAAGGTCGTCGATCTACAAATACGAGCAAACGCCCGAAATTCGATCTGCCGTATACAATAACGTCGATCGACGTACATCTTCCCTTCTTTCAAATATGCGACGGAAGGCAAACGGCCGCGCGGAAACGGAACGAAAATATTGTTCCACGAAGAGACATCTCGGCGACGTTACGCGTCCCACGGAACATATCCGACTCGAGGGTGGAAAATACAGCCGAAACGAATTCGCGAAAATCCTCTCCGGGGAATGGACGTCGGCAGATGCGCGTCCGCCTTCTCGGAGTTTTCTGCGAGCGGAGTCTTTGACACTAGAGACACTTTAAAAACGTGCCAGGACTACTTGAGATCGAGTATGCATTCCCGCGGTAACACCTCGCTCGTGCTCGAACGGAAATTCCTTCGTTTTTATTAATGCGGAATTACTTCTCCTCAGTCGAGAGAGAGTTTACTCCTCTTCGTAAAAACCTCGTCGAAAATCACTGTATTCGAGTTGCAGTGATCGAACGAGATTCTTATTTTCGTATATGATTGTCATTGCTTCCAGATCTCCAAGTGTACACTTTAAAAAATAGCGATATCTATATAATTTTCACTGTGTTTGTGTTAACCTTGTTAACCTGCAATTTGTTAAATTGAAATTTTTTCATGTTTCCGAATTTTTCTTTTTCTTTAAACCTATATATTTCGAAACTCCTTAATTCTATCGACTTTTACACATTATGGACTTGTTCCTTAATCAATTCTCCATCGATTGAAAAAAAATTAATTGAAATATGTCCATTTTTACGGAAGTTAAGACAACAAATATGAATGGGGT